TTTTGGCATTATTTTGCTTGATATTCACTGAGCTTCTTGAACCTGTATATCAGCCTCCTCCAGAGAGTGGGGAAATTCTCAGCTCTGATCTTTCCCACCACTTGTTCTTTCTTTCTTCTGTTTTCCTTTTTCCTTTCCTTCTGGTATTCCTAGAATTCATAAATGTTTCCTCTTGCTGTTATCCAGTAAGTATCTTGCATTCTCTTCCATTCTAGGCTTCTCTTCTCTTTTGCCAGTTCCCTGCCAAGGCTGGCTTGTAGTTTTTGTTCTCAAGTTCCTCTATCTGGTTCTCTGCTTGTGCGGTTCTGCTACTCTGGCTTGCTCTTGTGGTTTAGTTTCTTCAGTTCATTTTGTGTAAAATCTGTCATTCTCTGTATCAGTTCTTTGACTTGGTTGAATTTCTTATCTAATGATTGTTTAATTTCACTGGCCAGTGCTTGCTTAGTTTTGACTGCTAATGTAGTGAGTGTTGATGTCATGTGCTCATTGACCAGTCTTGAGAGGTTTTTTTTTTTTTTTTTTTACATTTTTTTTCTTTGTGAAACACCATGAGGTACAGTTGTAGATTTACAGTTTTTTGTGCTTGGGTTTCGATTATACAATGATCAAATACCCATCCCTCCATCAGTGCCCATTTTCCACCACCATGGATAATATCCCTCCCAGCCCCACCCCCCCCATCCCAGCCTGCCTCTGTGGCAGGGCATTCCCTTTTGTTCTCTCTCTCCTTTTGGGTGTTGTGGTCTGCAAAAGAGTTATTGAGTGGCAAACATGTTCAGTCCATAGTCTACTTTCAACATGCACCTCCCCTAGAATGCCCGGCTGGCCTCCAAGCTATGGAGTAATCCTCCTGGTGCTGATCTCAGCTATTCTTGGGTATTAATCTCATATTTTGTTACTTTATATCCCCCAGATGAATGCAATCTTTCTATGTCTATCCCTCTCTTTCTGACTCATTTCGCTTAGCATGATACTTTCCATGTTGTACCACTTGTATGTAAATTTCATGACTTCATCTTTTCTACCAGCTACATAGTACTCCATTGTGTAGATGTACCAAAGTTTCTTTAACCAGTCATCTGTTCTTGGGCACTCAGGTTTCTTCCAGTTTCTGGCTATTGTAAAGGGTGCTGCAATGAACAAACAAGTGCAGATGTCACTTCGACTATACATTTTTGCTTCTCTGGGATATATTCCCAGGAGTGATATTGCTGGGTCAAATGGGAGCTCAGTTTCTAATTTTTTGAGAATCGTCCGTACTGTTTTCCAAAAGGGTTGAACCAGTTGGCATTCCCACCAACAGTGAAGGAGTGTCCCTTTCTCACCACATCTGCGCCACAGGCTTGAGAGTTTTAATGGGCTTAAGAGTTTGCTTGAGTTTCTATCTCTATCTGGTGCTATACTTGGGTCCCTTAGATTCCCTGATTATGCTTTGAGTTTTATATGGGTTAGTTTTGGAGGTTTAGATTAAGAACTGATATTGTTGGTTGTTTATACCAGAGGGCTACTGATAATACCTCTCGTTCACATTATTTCCTTTACCATGCAGTGCTAGTAGACGATGGAAAGGGGATTTTGAACTAGTCAGTTGACTGACATGTATGACTATATAAGGTCACTGAAGTATGTTTGATGTGTGCACTGGCTTCAGTCTGAATGTGTTCAGTCAAATTAGAGCTGGTGTCAGATAGTGTGACTCCCTGAACTAGGGCCTGGAGTCAGCAGGTAGGGAACTCTCAGGGTGGAGTCCAAGGCTTTCTGTTGGGAGCCTCACCATGGTAAGAGGGAGAGGATGGGCAGTCCCAGTGCCCAGAAGCACACACTGAAACTTTGAAATCTAAGTAAAAAAATTTAAGAGGAGATTACCTTTCCCATCTGTGATGGAGTAACTGGTATTAAAATGGTCTTCCCTTCTACTAAGAATAACTAGAAAATGGAATAAATATATAAAATAATTGTTTTCAAACATTGATTACAACAGGCATTGTAAGATGGAGACGTCTGAGGGAGAAATAGAATACCTTTATGATTTCTCTGAATTGTAGCACAGCAGGTAGGGTATTTGCTTTGCCTGAAGCCGATTTAGGTTTGATTCCTCCATCCCTCTCAGAGAGCCCAGCAAGCTACTGAGAGTATCCTGCCTGCGCGGCAGAACCTTACTAGCTCCCCGTGGCGTATTCGCTATGCCAAAAATAATAACAGCAAGTCTCACAATGGAGACATTGCTGGTGCCCACTTGAGCGAATCGATGAAGAGCGGGAGGACAGTGCTACAGTGCAGTGCTACAGTGACTGCAGGGCACAATTCACATAGTCACTGGAGAGGGGATCTCAGAAAGAGCAAGACAGGAGGGGGTAGAGTTGTGAAGTACGAAGCCTCTTCAAAATTCAGGGAGGAGAGGTAGTTACACTTCTGGGCAGAGCATCACTGAGGAAAGCCTACAAGGTCCAGTATTCAAGAGATACTACCAGGTGACAGGAAGTTGAAAACATGTGATCCACAATCAGGGGGTGAGTGGGTAAACAGCTGAGAACCAGAAACGACATAAGAGTCTAAAACTAGGATTACTAACACGTTGGAAGAACTACACTTAAAAAAAAGGAGAGAAGGGCAGAATAGGAGTTACAATACAAAATATTATTAGACCTTTTAAGAATAACTTTATTGAAATGAACCCTGTCTTAGAGCAACCTCTGCCAAATTTTGAAGGGAGAATTATTAAATCACCTAGCCTAAAGACTAAAAGTGAAAAGAAATCCTTTCCAGGATGGGGGCAATAGCAGTAGCCCCAGGAATGGGAGTGCGTGCTTTGTATGTGCAAGTCCCTGGTCCCATCCCCAGAATCTCAGGGTTTCTGGGCTTGACAGAGGTGATTAGACAAATGAAGTCTGGTATCTGGAAAAAGTAAGAACGTGTTCTAGTGTATTATTAGAAAAGTTGAAAAACAAAAGTATACTCTCTTCAAAGTAGCCTTAAAAGAAGTCAATCTTTGTAGAAGCAATAATTGTGAAAAATGACAGCCTTGGGCAGGAGGCCTGAGCCAACAGCAGCACCACGTCCTGCCACCCTCCTCCTGAGTCCACCACCTGGGCTGGGCGTGGCCTGACAGCGCCACTGGCCCCATGAGCACCTCTTGGGAGTGCACCCTTCCTTGCCCCCCTCAAGCCTCCTGAGACACAACATCTGTAGCTCATTAGGAATATTTACAATCGGAAGGTAGCGTAATGTACTGCAGCAAGGCAACTGTCATGTTAGAATACATTACACAGTGAAAAATGGATCAAATGAAAACGGTAACTAAGAGCAATCAAGGGCTGGAGAGATAAGTACAGCAGGGCTGACCTCAGTTCAATTCCCAGCACTCCATTTGGTTCCTTGAACCCTGTGTCATCCCTGGGCTCAGAGCAAGGAGTAAGCCCGCTAAAATAAATGAGCAATCAGACATGATGGTTATTAAAGAGAAAGGAAAGTATATGAGTGAACATTTGAAATTGTGACTCTACATCTTATTCTTATGTTAATCTATTAAGGCCTTTAAAGTTTTCTACTCTGTCATCAGAATTCACTTAAAGTGGTTCTTTGAGATGCTGACAGACGTTTATTTGCTTGGATCCAGTAGCAGTTAGAATTCTTACAGAGTGTCTGCTCTGTAGAGTACCTGGCACATGTGTGATCGCTCTCGTGAGAAGCAAGCACAGAGATAATTTTTCTTTTTGAACATATATTCTAGTGTCACCGTCCTCGAGCGGGCCCAGTAACGTCCCCATTTTGAGACTGTTGTTACTGTGTTTGGCATATCAAATACATCACGGGTAGCTAGCCAGGCTTTGCCGTGGTGCGTGTGGGCAAGATACTCTCGGTAGCTTGCCGGGCTCTCCGAGAGGGGCGGAGGAATCGAACTCGGGTCGGCCATGTTGGCTGCGTGCAAGGCAAACGCCCTACCCGCTGTGCTGAAGTCGTGTAAATTAAACAAATAACTTCAATAAATTGCAAGTTTGTATGATAGAAAAAAATGGGTCTGTGGTCTTTGAAGTGGTTTGATGGTTTTAGAACTGCCAAGTCTAAAGGGAGTGGTTAACTAAATCAGAAGAGATTGCAGAGGCCAGTGGAGGATTGGCAAAAGGCCTGTGTAGCTGTCTGCCTCACAAAGAGCTGGAGTTGGTTTGCTAAACTAATATGGAATAAGAGGAAATTTAACAGGTAAGTAAAAACTACCAAGCTCATTTACTGTTGCATATGTAGGACTTAGGGGTTTATCCTTAGGTCATAGGAAGTTACTAGAATACTGGACTGTACTATGTACACGGCTAATATTTTCTGATTTGCATTTTGAAAATTGTAGTATGGAGGAAAGATCACAGGCCAATAATAAATTTAGACAGATTGCATTGATACTTATCACAGGTTATAAGTGATAGTAACTTGGGTGAATCAGAAACATTGAACAGATTCCCTAGGTATTTCAGAGATAAATTTGATAAGGTTGGTGATAGATTAACTATCAGAGATAAGGTTAGAAGATACTAAACTATAATAAAATGATTGTTTATTGAAAAATATGTTTTAAAAGTGTTCAAGAGTGAAGGAATTATTTGAATATATCTCTTGTCTCCATCTAATGTGGAACCATGGAGATGGTATAGTGCTCTGAAATATGTATGTGGGGATTCAGGTTTGTTTCCTGATACCCCATGGCTCCTGTACTCCTCCAATCATTGTTTCACTGCTGCCCTCCATTAATCTACACTCATACTCTCTCTCTCTCTCTCTCTGTGTCTGTCTGTCTCTGTCTCTCTGTCTCTCTCTGTCTCTCTCTCTTACACACACACACACACACACACACACACACACACACACAGTGCTTTACCCACTGTACTACTTCTGCAGTCCCTGAAGACATTTTTACCAGGATATGAAATTTCCCATAATATATAGTTAAACTACTAAGTATAATAATGAAGCATGCCTGTGATCAAAAATGACTATTTTTTGAAATTTAGACACCTCAAGAAGAAAATGCTGTTAACGGCCCTGAACTCCTAAGGAAAAAACGCACAACTTCAGCTGAAAAAAATACTTGTCAACTTTATATTCAGACTGACCATCTGTTTTTTAAATACTATGGAACACGAGAAGCTGTGATTGCCCAGGTATTTATAATTTTGCTACTATTTCAGTAGTTCTCATATAACTTGAAAATATATGTTAAATTTTCTTTTAAAAATTAAAGTTAGCACATTTTTCTATTTTTCTTTTTGGAAAAGAGTATGCATTTTAATTGTAATATGATCAAATATGTAGGGTTAGATATTTTCCTGTTGTTCATAATAGAGGTATAGGAAAGTGACTTCATGAAGGAAATGTCACTGTAGTGCTGCTTCAGAATAGGCATGAATTTTACTTGTTAATTTAAAGGAAGGATGGATAAAGGATCCTTCCAGAAGAGTTATTTGCATTTTGTCTTCTTAACCCTTTCCCTTCAAAATGTTTGTCATGTTGAAGATATCACATAGAGTTTGACAAATGTGTTTGATTTAAGGGATTTGAGAATAAGAGAATTGGAAGTGCCACTAGTATAAATGTCGAGCTTATTTTGATGGTGGTGTGGTAGCTTAATTTTGGACATATATGAGACAGTTATTCCCCAGGGCTGTTGAAAATGTAGAACAGGAATTTGTGAGAGGTTAGCCTTGAGCTTTCTATGGAAATTAAGGGAATAAGCTATGTAATAAAACAAATAATTACCAAATCTTAACAAAATAGTTGTAGAGGATTAGCCAAAGAAGAAACAAGGTTTGTGTTGTTTTTTTTTTTTTTTCCTTTTTGGGTCACACCCAGTGATACACAGGTGTTCCTCCTAGCTCTGCACTCAGGAATAACTCCTGGCAGTGCCCAGGGGACCATATGGGATGCTGGGAATCGAACCCAGGTCAGCTGTGTGCAAGGCAAACGCCGTACCTGCTGTGCTATCGCTCCAGCCCCCAGAGACAACTATTAAAGCAAAATGCATAGTTAATAATGTCATTATAATCATATCAAGGAGAATGGCTATAAGGAATTAATTACATGAAAGGAATCCTTTCACAGTGTATGTGTATATTGGATCATCATGATGTAGCACTGTAGCACTGTCCTCCCGTTGTTCATCGATTTGCTCGAGTGGGCCCAGTAACGTCTCCATTGTGAGACTTTTTGTTACTGTGTTTGGCATATTGAATACATCACAGGTAGCTTGTCAGGCTTTGCCGTGTGGGCGAGATACTCTTGGTTCCTTGCCGGGTTCTCCGAGAGGGGTGGAATAATCGAACCCGGCTCGGCCGGGCCGGCTGCATGCAAGGCAAACGCCCTACCGCTGTGGTATCGCTCCAGTCCATCATGATGTACATTTTAAATATATTATAATTTTTGTTGGGCTGGAGTGATAGCATAATGGGTAGGGCGTTTGCCTTGCATGTGGCCTACCTGGGTTCGATTCCTCTGTCCCTCTCGGAGAGCCTGGCAAGCTATTGAGAGTATCCTGCCTGCATGGCAAAACCTGGCAAGCTACCTATGACGTATTTAATGTGCCAAGAACAGTAACAACAAATCTCACAATGGAGACGTTACTGGTGCCCGCTTGAGCAAATCGATGAACAACGGGAGGACAGTGACAGTGACAGTTTTTGTCAGTTTTGCCTCAGTTCTGGAAGGAACGATTATGAAAAGTAGTTGATTTTTAGTGACCAGAATTATGTCTTTTAGAATGTCATTATGCCTCAATTCTGGAAGGAAAAAAAAAGGACTATGAAAGGTAGTTGACGTTTAGTTCCTATAACATTTTATGATTTATATTATTTATTTGTCTGTGTGGATATTGGGCCACATTAAGCAGTACTTAGGAGCTACTCTTGGTTCTGTGCTCAAGGAATGCTCCTGGAGGTCCTCAGGGTTGACCAGGTTGGGTACTGGGGTTCAAAGGAGGATCAGCCACATGCAAGGCAAGTGCCTTAACTCCTATACTGTTTTTTAGGCTTGATGATCTTTTGACAAACTCTGATTAGTGTTGTAGGGGTAAAAATATTGACTCGACCGACAGAAGCAGTGAGCTTTCAAGAGATGTTGTGGGGGAAATGTGACTTAAATAATACGATGGAGACTTGAGAGATAGTATAGCAGGTGAGATGTTTCATCATGCACGTGACCTACCTGGGTTCAATATCCAGCACCATATATGGTTCCCCAAACACTGCAGGGGTGATTGCTGAGCAGAGAGCCAGGAGTAAGCCCTGAGAACTGCTGGGTGTGACCCCCTCCCAAACAAAAGACAAAATAATATGGAGTATTTGGAGATGGAAGTATTATAGAAAGTAAATTAACAAGTTGATCTGAAGAAGAAAATGAGTAGCAATTAGGACATAAGAGAAAGAGAAATCGATAAGATGCAGTGTTCTTAAAGATCCAGTAAGCAGTAGGGCAAGGACTAAAGAATTACCCTTAAAGAAAGATATGACTTGAGAAAGGTAAAAACAGATAAAGATAGAAAAGAGGTAAAGAGTGAGCGAAGTCAGGATGAACTCTCAGTGAGTACAAGTTCATCATCTGAGGGAAATGTTTAAATCCCTGGGAATGGAGTTGACACAGTGAGGACTGAATAAAGATTCTAGGCCGGATTGAGGTCAGAAAGAGTATTTTTGTAGTGAACTAAATTGGTACTTTTCGAACTTCCTTTTATCAATGATTAGCAATATGGTCTACTTCTGAGATTTTAATTATTGCTATCTTAATGTGCATGTAATTTCTTTGAAAGTAGTTTTGAAAGCACATATGCATATTCACATAATTGGTTTTAGGACTGCTGTTTGTAAATAAAATTAGAAATAAAACAGTTTAATGATTTAAGAAGGCAGAGTTTAGCTGGGAGTCAATGAGGTAAGTAGGCAACTTTTGTATTTTAGCACTTAAATCTCCTAGAATTCAGCAAAAATGGAACGTCTTATTTATATTTTATTCTTTTGTTCTTATCCTTCTAGAATGTTTGTAAATTTATAGAAAACTCTCTGTTTTATAGCACTGCCATTTCCTTAGCACCGTTTGTAGCAAGTGTTCAACAAAACTTACAGCCGTTTACTAGCACCTAAACTTAGAAACACTAAAGTTGGAGAATGATTACGTTTTATCATGTTTTTAGGGAAGTTCTTTTCAAAGATTTAAAACTGTTTTTTGTTCGTTGACCACACCAGGTCCACATTAGGCCACTCCTAATGCATTGTTTCAAGGTGCCCTGGGTTCATGAAAGAGCCTGTGGGTCACTCTGCCAGCCTTATTTTCAGTTTCATTCCTTCCCCCTTCCTTGTTGCCAGGGCGTGTTTACTGCCTGACTATGGTGCTCACACATTGTCTTTAGCTGTGGTGCTGGCTTGGGGCTGCATCTGAGGCTGTGGTGCTCGCACACGGGGCTGAGGCCTGCACTGAGGTCTGCACTCTTTCAGTTGCAATGTTTGCCCACACTTTTCACTGGGGGTCACTCTTTGACAGTTCTGTCTTCTGGGTGTCCTTCTTCTGGGCGGGGCTGCTGTAGTGCTCACCCGTGTGCCCCCAAAGGACTGTTTCCTGCTGTGGCACCCATGCATCTGTGTAGCTGTGCTTACCTCCTCTGTGGTGCTCACTCACATCTGGCTAGACTGTGGCCATATCCTGTGCAGTACCAGGACTGCAGACAATACTGCCAAGCTAGAATAGCACAGCTGCCAGGATTGCGGGTGGTGACACTGGAGAATTGAACTCATGAACATGTGCTTGCAAAGCAGATTTTCTATCCACTGCACTATTCTTCCAGGCCCTGTCAGGGAAACACTTAGAAAAGGTCTTTGAGCTAAGTCATAGGATAAAGAAAAAGAAGGTGAAAAGTTCCGGTATTGTAGGAGGGATTGAGTCAAAGTGTGTGTGACTGAAAGCAGAAGTGCATGTTTGGATTTTGTCAGAAAAGAGTATGGAAAAGTCCTAGCATGTCTGCTCAGCTCCACTTCTCTCATCTTTTCCATCCTTCTAGTTGATACTGTACACATCTTTAAGTTTGAAGTGGTGGAATATGAAAAATTCTTGATTTGGGAAATGGCATTTTTTTGTTCTTGCATTTCAACGTTGCCTCTAAAATGTTATTCTCTTTTTAAATCGATAGATATCCAGTCATGTTAAAGCGATTGATACAATTTACCAGACCACAGACTTCTCTGGAATCCGTAACATCAGTTTTATGGTGAAACGCATAAGAGTAAGAAATTTCAATGATTAAAACAATAAGCATCAGATTTACCAAGAGAAAAATGTTTACTTTTCACTTCATTTTAAAGAAGTCAAGTTGTTTAAATTGTGCTTTGATTAAATTACACTGGTGTAGTTTATTTAACTCTCAGCTTTCACACGCACACACACACACACATTTTGTGGTATAAGAACGGGGTGGGTGAGAGGGAAATGAGCTCTAAATTCATGTGACTTTAACCTGAACTGTGAAATAGAAAAGTATAGTGGTACTGCTTCCTGTGCATCTGATTCACGTGCTGGTAGGAAAGTCTTAATTTCAGAAATTACATCTTCACTGCTTGACATCCCACAGCCCTTGATGTTATTTCTCGGTTTCTTAAGATTTTTCATGTGTCATTATGAATCTTATTTGTTGCTCCAGGGTTGGGAAGGAAGATAATGGTTATATAAAATAAGAATTTAGAAAAACTCTTGAAAAATCATAGTGTACACTAATGCATCTTGAGCCTTAAAAAGTTTTTTGGGAAAGAAACTCATGTTTCTGAAAACTAATTTGACCATGACATCTTTCGTATCACCATTCACTGAAACTTCAGAGAGCCTCAGAATGCATTTTGAGTGTGTGTTTTAGACCCACAGGGTTGCAGATGATTAGTTTTGATGGTGTAGATTGTAAGTAAGTAATGGTCATTACTTAGAGAGTAAGACTAATTGAAACATTTTCTAAATGTGAATTCTTTCAATGCATATTAACTTTTAAGAGTCTGAAATTTGTGTTCCTATTTTTCTTAAAATATTATTGACTATAATTTTAGTACAGGTATTTAAAAACAAAGTTGAAGGTTTTCCATTTACAAGTATAATGGAATATTAATTGGAGTGTTTTAAAGTGAAAACTGTGGATCTGTGTTAGAAGAATTGTTCATAATCAGGCACACATATATCTTGAGAGCAATGTAAGCATTCATGAAGTAAATTGGCATATGAGTGGTAAGCGATATAAGTGTAGCTGTTTAGTGGGCAGAGCAATAAAAGGCTGAGTCGCTGAAAAGTAGAGAACAAATTTTAGTGAAGCACATTTTTTTTAGTACAGTTATTTGCTGGAGCAAAAGCACAGCAGGTAGGGCGTTTGCCTTGCATGCAGCCGACCCAGGTTTGATTCCTCCGTCCCTCTTGGAGGGCAGGGCAAGCTACCGAGAGTATCCCACCCGCCCAGCAGAGCCTGACAAGCTCCCCGTGGCATATTCAGTCTGCCAAAACCAGTAACAAAAAGTCTCACAATGGAGATGTTACTGGTGCTCGCTCGAGCAAATCGATGACCAACGGGAGGACAGTACTACAGTGGACAGTTATTTGCATTATAAAGAAATACATGTATATAAATGAGACGCTTGTTTTCAGGCCTTTACTGAAATTAAAACTTCAGATATCTGTTGAAGATTATGATCCATTAAATGATTGAAATTTTAGTTACATCAACAAATATTTAATTATTAACCATCTTATTTTAATAGAGATAACTAAAATTTAGGTGCGGTTTTACTTGAGGCAATATTATAGTGTCAGGGAGTTTTATTGTTTATGTTAAGTGGAGGAAAACAAGCTATTGCATATCTCTTAAGTATAGACTATAGTATGTGTTATGCTTGTTGGATGACTAGAACCAGTTATTTTGGACCGATTATTGATGAATCAGTCAGATGTTATGAAATCCAGCATAAGGCGGTTGGCCCTCAACAGTTATCTTTGCAGTCCTAAGTAGGACCTTGTGGTTTGACTGGAAGTTGTGGATCCTAAGCAGATCTGTAGCTCTCCTTTCATCAGTGCTTATATCCTCTCTTACAACATACGCTTTCAGTAGAATGAGGATTGCTGATGCTTCTGAAAAATACTAGCTAAGAAAATCACTCTTGTATATCATTTTGACTTACTTGGTGGAATCAGATTTTTCCAGGGCCTCAAATGATAGATCCTGAAAGAAGTCACAGGGTTAATAAATGAGAGCTTTGCTCAGTAGAAATTTGATTTCAAAATTGATTATTCCTCAGATTATATAGAAGGAATTTGTACCAGGATCATAACTAAGTATCCAAAGAAAGATTGTGTAGGAACTCATCTTGAAAGCAAGAGAAATGAATTGGCAGTAAAAAGAAAATAAAATTCTTGCTCATATCCAGGGAAAAGAAATTTGATCTTGCAGTGTGTTATACTTTACTTATGACTCTAGGCAAGGAGAATCAAGGAAATTATTTGTCTGCTCAACTGACAGCCTTGAGTTCAATATCCATTTTATGTTCAGGTAATTGGAAAAATCTAACATTTATATTCTTAGAGTTGTCACCATATGTGGAGATTACCACTAAAGGAGACTTGCTCAGATAATTAAATTTAAGAAACTGTACTATCTTTATTAGAAGTTTTGAAAGTAGAACTTGTTTTTCTTTTCTTTTTTTTGGGGGGGGGGGCTGGGAAGTCACACCTGGTGATGTTCAGGAGTTACTCTTGACTCTGCCAGGAATTCCTCTGGCATTGCTCTGGGCACCCTGGGGACAGGATGCTGGGGATTGAACCTGGGTTGGCTATGTGCAAGGCAAGTGCTTTATTCACTAGTAGACTTGTTTTTCAATCCCAAGCATTTAGTGTTCACGAATTCAGAGAACATTGGTTCTGAATGTTAACATGCAGTTTTCATCCCCTTACGCTATTTCCATCCTTTCCCCTCTCATCTTCTCTTTCCTCTCCCCCCCTCCCACCCCCCGGTCTTTGTTGCTCCCCTTCCCTCCGTCCTCTCTTCTCTCCTTCTGCATGATCAGATAAGGGATGGGGATAGTGGGAAGAGCACTAGAAAAAAGTCTTAATTCAGGCCTCCTTTTTTTCTGGGATTCAGATAATTTTACAGATGCTAACTTATTTAAATTATTGTTTGAATTTTAGATCAACACAACTGCTGATGAGAAGGATCCTACAAATCCCTTTCGTTTCCCAAACATTGGTGTGGAGAAGTTTCTGGAATTGAATTCTGAACAGAATCATGATGACTACTGTTTGGCCTATGTCTTCACAGACCGAGACTTTGATGACGGAGTTCTTGGTCTGGCTTGGGTTGGAGCACCTTCAGGTAGTTTATCTAAACATATCTTGACTTGAAACAAAGCAATTTTATAAAATTTTATAAAATACAGGAGAAAGTGCTGCCTGTACACTGTCTTAATTAAATGATGAGACTTAGGCAAAATTTGTAGCCATAATATAATTGGGAAAATATAGGAGTTTGCATTTTATTTTGAAATGAGTACTAAATGGGGAGATAGCCTGATATTTCTACATTGAAATTTGGTTGCTGAAATAATTAACCTAAAGCAGCATTTCCCCCAAAGAAAACCCTACTAATTAAAATAAACTTTTAAAGATGATCTTGGAAGTTGGGGGCATGGGGTAAGGGGTGGGGACACTTGTTTTCCTTCTGTTGTGCAGTGAGATTGAGTGAGATGAATCGCCGAGAGTGCCTGCCCAGGAGCGGATGGAGACACAGTGCCCACACTTCCTCAGTGTGCTTGTCTGTTCCTGCTCCGTGCAGGGCATCATGGCCCTGATACCTGCCATCTTGAGGTAGCTGGGGGAGAGGCCAATGCCCTTTCCAGTACACCCTTTCCAGGGGTGAGGACGGACAGTTATCTTATTCAGAGAAATACAAACCTGTTGATTGAACGATGGAGCCTCAGTCCTTTGAATTTAGAGTTTGTCACTTGGAGTTTGACTCATAGTTTGTAGTCTTTCATTTGAACTGTACATGGCAATTCCTTCTTTGCATCTTTTCTATCTTTAAAAAGAATCAACTTCTGCTTTATCCAGGGTAAGCTGGGTGTTCGTGTATCCCTGGATTTGTTGTGTGCATGCTAACATTAGTAGTCCTGTACTTCCTCAAGCCTTTGTGTTTCTTGTTTTCTCTTCACTGACTGGTGGCTAGGCCTGCTTGGAGCCTCCAGGGTCACACTTCCTGAGCTTGGTGAGGTTGGGGGGGATCAAGTCCAGGGTTTGGCACCTGCACGACCTGTACACAGTCACTTGAGCTACGTCCTCGATGCCTGTTTTCTTTTTAAAACCAACAGTGGGTATGCCAGGGTGTGGCTCAGTGCGTAAGCACTTGCCTTCAGTGTGTGAGTCCTGGCGTTGGTGCAGGGGTCAGGTGCAAGGCCAAGTTCTACCCCAGGCCCTGCCTACCCCCTGGGCAGTGGGGGTGTGGTCCGAGTGGTCCCAGTACCACAGGGCCTGATTAACACCAAAGCTTTGGATCTTAGTGCTGAACCAATGGCCCAGAGTGGCCAGGAGTTGCCCACAGGCTCCCTGTGTACCTAGTGTGAGGTTGCCCATCCCAAATCCCAAGAGTGAATATTCTTTTTACAATACCCAACGCCTTTTTCTCATGGTTTAAAGTGTACTTAACTTCCTAGTATTCTTTTTTTTTTTTTTTTATAATGTAGGAGAGCTTCTATTCAGCTACTTATTAAGCTGACAGAAGCAGGCATGAACTCCATATTACTTTTTTTTTTTTTTAAAATTGTATTGATTATCTGTGAGATAGACCATCCCAAAGCTGTTCATGATTGAGTTTCAGTCATACAGTGATCTAACACCCATCCCTCCACTAGTGTACATTTCCTACCACTAGTGTCCCCCATTTCCCTCCCACCAGTTCCCAACACTCCACCCCCTCACCTCCCAGCCTCTCTCTATTTTTGTTTTTTGGTTGCAATATGGGTACCAAGAGGTAATCATGTTTGAATTATGGTTGCAATATGGGTACTAAGAGGTAATCATGTTTGTTCAGGGCATTCAGTATTTTTATCGGGGTGGTAAGACTGGAGTAGCTGTTTAACTGGGTAGCAGCTTTGGGATGTGGATGTGACTGCTGAGACTTCCGGAAGTACAGGGAGGTGGGAGAAGGTAGTCCATCCCGAGCCTGAGAAAGCCTAGAGATTTCAGTCACAAAACCTGCATACCCGAATTTTCAGCAGATTATATCTCGGTGAGGTCCGTCCTGAGATCGTGACGTTAGGCCGGGGGCATGGCAGTGATTTTAGATTATGGAAGCAAGTGGCTGCTGGGGGCTCTGCTTGGGCGGGCACCGAGCTGACCTGCCCTCCTCCCCTCCAATTTACCCCAGTCTATTTGGCCTTGTGTGGGTCTGAGATAAGCTTCAACTTTTTCTCTCTTTCAAGATTTATTTATGGGTCTCTGAAGTGAGGCCGAAAAATGGGCTTGTCTAGCTGAGCCAGAGGTGGTCAGTGGGTGTGATTCCCACATACCTAACTTTGCCTGTTTGATTTCTCAGGAAATTTGGTCCTAAATTGTTGGGGTCCGGCCAAAGGCACAGCAGCGATTTTGGGGTATTGGGAAGCCTGAAGGCACCATTAGGCTGCTGATGCACTTGCCCCATAGGTACAGGTTAGCCTGCTGGCGGCACCATACTCCCCTATCTAATATTCTTAATGTGTGAGTTTTATGTCATGACTGCCTATAATATTAGTATAAATAGTATAATATTTTGGCATATTTGTCCCTTATGATGGTTTATGCTGATTTCATGCTACTTGTGTTGTCAGTGGTTTTTTTCAGAGTCCTCTTCCCTGTATTTATCTTTCTTTGATTTCTTCTTTTCTTTTTCTTGGTGGGGCAGGGAACACCTGACAGACTCTGGATTTCTCCTGGCTCTGTGGCTTTGTGCCAGGGGGTTACTCCTGGCAGTGGGGGCAGTGCAGTGCTGGGGATTGAGCCTGGGCTCCCTCTATGCAAAGCATGCACCCACCTCATTAGGTTGTCTATTCCCTTTGTGATAATTCATGGTTGTTTTATTTATTTTTTTCTTAGATAATTTTTGCCTTTCTTTCTGTTAAGGTCAGTCTTTTTAATTTTAATTATTTGTTTGTTTTGGGACCATATCAGGCAGTCCTGGGTTGGCTGTGTGCAAGGCAACCGCCCTATCTGCTGTAATATAATATGCACACAGAACTCAACACAGGACTCTCAACAGTATAATCCACAGTTTACCAGTTATCCTGCTTCAATGTGAAGGCCAAGAGAGTCACATGATTAGAAATCGAAATAGCACACATCTGGCTTTGTACTTAGGGATCACACCTGTTGGTGCTGGAAGGACCATATATGATGCTGGGGATTGAACTGATGTCAGTAGTAAGTAAGGCAAGTACCTTATTTGTGTACTATCTCTCTGTCCCCTCAGATAAATATCATATATTCAGCATAGTATGTTTTTAGATCAGCTAAAATCACAAAAGATATATTAATATATATATATATAATATGTATGTATATACATATACATATGTGTGTATGTATACATGAATATAATATATATGAATGTATATATGGGCTGGAGTGATAGCACAGCGGTAGGGCGTTTGCCTTGCACGCAGCCAACATGACCGACCCGAGTTCGATTCCTCCGCCCCTCTCGGAGAGCCCAGCAAGCTACCGAGAGTATCTCGCCCTCACGGCAGAGCCTGGCAAGCTACCCATGATGTATTCGATATGCCAAACACAGTAACAACAAGTCTTATGATAGAGACGTGACTGGGCCCGCTCGAGCAAATCGATGAACAACGGGAGGACCGTGACCGTATGTATATACATATACATAGATAGTTTTGGGGCCATACCCGGCAAGAGTCAGAGATTAATCCTAGGTCAGTGCTCAGGACTTACTCCTGATGGACTCAGGGGACCATATGGGGTACCAGGGATTGAACTTAGTTAGGCTGCATGCATGGCAAGTACCCTACCCACTGTATTCTCTCTCCAGCCCCACAAAGGTATTATATTACTAGTACTTTATCTCTTTCTTGACAGGGTATCTATTTTAAAGGAAGGACTAATGGGCTGGAGAGAGTTTTAAGAGGGATTAAGGGTGCTTAATTAAGCTGTGGCCAACTCCAGTTTAATTCCTGGCACCACTTTTGCTCCCTGAGCACCACTAGGAGTGATTCCCTGAACACAGAGCCAGGGGTAAGCCTTGAACATTTTCTGGGTGTAACCCAGAAGTCCCTATTCTCAGTCTTGACAGCGGGTAAGGCAAGCAGTACCTGGTACCACATATGGTCCCCAAGACCCCCACCAGGAGTGATCCCTGACCACAGTGCAAGGAGTAAACCCTGAGCACTGCCAGGTGTGGCCCAAATAGAAAAAAAATTTTGTTCTTATTTTATTATTTTTTTAATGTAGGAGTACTGCTATTTATTCAGCCATTAAGCTGATTGAACTGGGTGAACTCCACATGTTCTTATTTTAGAAAGTTAAAAATAAATCAAGTTTAGTGGGTAGGATGTTTGCCTTGCACGTGGCTGACCCAGGTTCCGTCCATTCCATGTAGTCCCTGGAGCATTGCCAGGAGTGATTCCTTAAGTGGAGAGCCAGGAGTAACTTTTGAGCATTGCTAGGTGTGACCCAAAAAAAGCCAAACAAAATGAGAGAAAACAAAACAAAATAAATGAAGTTTAAAACTTATTCTAGGACTTGGCTTTCAGATTTCCTGTACAGAGCAGAATGTCGGACTCCTTTGATGGCTGCTGAATCTTTCATCCAGTAATTGCTTTTGACTTAACTTGAAAACTCTTGACGTTACTATTTTAACAGTCTGTGTTTTTCAGTGAGGGTGACTGGGTAGTAAAACTTTAATTTTCTTTGTTTTATCTTTGGGCACTCCTGGTGGTGCTTTGAGACTCCTCTTGGTGTTTGGGGGTTGCCTGTGGCAGCCTTAGGGGACCACGTGATGTTGGCTGACCTGGGGGGCTGTGGCCCGGCATGCAGCCCAGACCTTCCGGCCACTTCCCTGGCGCCCAAACCTTAATTTTGTAACATAAAGCAACTATTGAACTTGATTTATGCTTAATAACTTGGTTGAAACATATGTAGAAAGCTAATATGAATTTGACTTGTCATCAAACTATACTAATCTATCTGATGGTATTTTATTTTTAACTTATATTTTAGTGACACAATAGTTTTTATTGAAGGACGTTTAGAGAGATTGGTAGGGGGTGAGAGAGTGTGCAATAGAGAAAGTAAATTTGGAAGAAAAGCCTGTAGTTGCCTTTGGAGAAAACTTTTGTTTCGTTTCGTTTTGAGGCCTTGCTCAGGGCTTACTCCTTTCTGCCTCTGCACTTGGAAATCACTACTGACTGGACTCGGGATCATGCAAGTCGCAGAGATAGAATCCTAGCCGGCTGCATGCAAGGCGAAGTACCCTCCCCTCTGTGTTGTCTCTCTGGGCCCCTGGGAGAAGGGTATATACAGTTCCTCCATATTGTCTTGGTGTTCTCTGCATAGATAGAAGTGAATCTGGGCATTGTTCCAAGGAAGACCTTGCACTGCTGATGGTCCTTTTATATTCTTATATGACTTAAATTCTTGTGTCGTTTCTCCTTTCCTTCAGGGTCTGCTCTTCCCTGGGTGGTGCCTCAGTTTCATTTGATAATCTGTCACTGTCACTTTCCTCCCGTTGTTCATTGATTTGCTCGAGCAGGCCCAGTAACGTCTCCATTGTGACACTTGTTACTGTGTTTGGCATATCGAATACTTCACGGGGAGCTTGCCAGGCTTTGCTGTGTGGGCGAGATACTCTTGGTAGCTTGCCAGGCTCTCCGAGAGGGGCGGAGGAATCGAACCTGGGTCAGCCAGGTCAGCCGCACGCAAGGCAAACACCCTACCTGCTGTGCTATGGCTCCAACCCCATTTGATAATATTTTAATAAAATGAAATAAGCCTTTTCAGTGTGAATATAAATAACTTGCTAAGATTTATAAATAGAACAATAGTCATCTTGGTATAGGTATATAAATACATAAGTTGTCAACAGTTTCTTATTTTTCTCCTTTTGTTAAAAAATATTGAATGCAAAAAATTTCATTACTGTTTACTCTTATAGGTTAATCTATAGGTGATATTTACATTAATAGTATATATTAGTATTTAATGTATAAGTATTAATTTTGGACATAAAAGTTTCTCTTTAAATTTTTGTTTTTTTAATGTAGGATTATTGCTAATTATTCAGCCACTGACTAGGCTGGTTGAATTGGGCATGAACTCCACCTTACTTTTTTTTTTTTTTTTTTATAAATTTATTGAATCACTGTGAGAGCAATTACAAAGCTTTCGGGTTTAAGTCTCTGTCATACAATGATGAAACACCCGTCCCTTCACCAGTGCCCATTTTCTACCACCAAAAACCCCAGTATACCCCCCCATCCCACATCTTCCCCCTACCTGTGGGACAGGTGATTTCCACATTACTCTCTCTCTACTTTGATTACATTCAATATTTCTACCCCAGACCCACCATTATTATTTGGGATTTAACTCCAATACTCAGATCTGCTGAAAAGGCAACCGTCGTAGACAATTTGTTTTCTATTGCTGGTTATGAATAACATATTGTTGTGTGGACGCAGTAGTAGCCACACAATTTTGGAATTCTGGAATTTTAACAATTAAATCTGGAGGGATTTCTGCCAAAACACTGGGTTTCAAGATTAGTTCCTGAGTCTTTGGGATCATGGCTGTTAAGCAGCTTGATCAGGAGGCAGGGAGTCCATTTGTGGGTGGTGACCGGGGAGGTTTCTTTGGGGTGGGGAGGAAAGAGCTGGCTCCACCCCCATCCCATAGGTCCCACGTGTCCCGTCACTGGGGGCCCAAACCTGACTGTCTAATGGCTTCTGGAGGATGGTGGCCACTGAGCCGCCAAGGGGGAGCAGGTGGATGGACAGCACCCTTTCCCCCCTGGGGTGGCCTGGTGACAGTAACCTACTGCGGGGTCCAGACGCATTTCTGCCAAAACCTGCTGGGTTCTGAGATTTGTTTCTAAGTCTCTGGGATTATGGCTGATAAGCAGCTTGATCAGGAGCCAGAAAGGCCGTTCATGGACAGTGACTGGGGTCTCTTTGGGGTGGGGAGGAAAGGGCCGGCTCCACGCCCATCCCGTGAGGCCCCACGTGTCTTGTCACTGGGGGCCCAAACCTGACTGTCCAGTGGCCTCTGGAGGATGTTGGTCACTGAGCCACCAAGGGGGAGCAGGTAGATGGACAGCACCCTTTCCCTCCTGGGGGGGCCTGGCAACAGTAACCTACTGTGGGGTCCGGATGCATTTCTGCCAAAAGCTGCTGGGTTTTGAGATTTGTTTCTGAGTCTTTGGGATCATGGCTGTTAAACAGCTTGCTCAGGAGCCAGAGAGATCTTGCCTCCAATTATATAGCTGAGCCGGAGGTGGTTTGTGGATGTGTCTCCCACATACCTAATTTTTGGCTGTTTACTTTCTTGGTAAACTTGGCCCCAACTTGGCCAAAGGCACAGCAGCAATTTTGGGGTATCTAGTCGTCTGAAGGTACCATCAGGCTGCTGATGCACTCGCCTCATAGGTACAGACTGACCTGCTGGCGGCACTATATCCATCTCTTTAAAATTTTAAAAGAGCTTTCAAGACATAGTAGAAAAATCATAATTCAGTTTTAAACCTATTTTAAAATTACGCCAGGAGTAATTCCTGGAGTAATTCCTGAGTGCAGATCCAGGAGTAACCCCTGAGCATAGCCGGGTGTGACCCAAAAAGGGAAAAATACCCCAAAAATTGTCAAATCAAATGTACAGTTTTATGATTTGATATTTCTGTACATTTTGAAAGGATTCCCCCACCAAGTTAAATACTTGTTACCCCAAATATTTTTTGAGAATATTTTTAAAGTGGTTTTAAAAATAATAATTGTATAAAATTATTATTTATATTTATTATAGTATAGGGCTGGAGCGATAGCACAGCGGGTAGGGCATTTACCTTGCATGTGGCAAACATGGCCAACCCGAGTTCAATTCCTTCGACCCTCTTGGAGAGCCTGGCAAGCTACGAAAGTATCTCGCCTGCACGGCAAAGCCTGGAAAGCTAGCCGTGCTGTTTTTGATATGCCAAACACGTATTAAGTCTCACAATGTTATGGGGCCTGCTTGAGCAAATTGATGAACAACTGGAGGACAGTGACAGTGACAGTTAATGGAGTGTTCACTGACAGATTATATAGATAATATAGATAGATATAGATTATACAGATTATATAAATATAGATTATACAGATTATATAGATAAGTAGGTGGAGATTTTCATTCAGTGAAAATATCGATGTTAAAATTTGATAGAGACTTAAATACTTTGCTTAGATAGCAGGAGTGAAAATTAGGGAATACTATAATCCTAAAGAGGAACATCATATTAGGGCTATATTTGTACTGTTAGAAAAGTCATCCTATTTGAAATGACTCCAAGTCGTTTGAGTATTTGATTTATGTGGTTACCTATGGTATTTCTGGACTTTACTTTAGAAGATGACAGTTGATTTTGTAGGGAAATGGTTGCTAACTTAGCCATCTTTTGTTTTGAATTAGGAAGCTCTGGAGGAATCTGTGAAAAAAGTAAGCTCTATTCAGATGGCAAGAGGAAGTCCTTAAATACTGGAATCATCACTGTTCAGAACTATGGGTCTCACGTACCTCCCAAAGTCTCTCATATTACTTTTGCTCATGAAGTGGGACATAACTTTGGATCTCCAGTAAGTATTACCTGATTCTTAGCTGTGAAAAAAGTAGTGTAAACTCACTTTTATGTTGAATGGTTTTTGTCATTGTTTATAACACAAGCAAATGCATGCAGGTCAGGCACATTAGTCTGAGCTGTTCCTGGCCCTGTAAGCTTGCTTGCTTTCTCTTTCTCTTTTTGTTTTGGGACCATACTTGGTGGTGCTCAGGGTTTACACCTATCTCTGCACTCAGCGATCACTCTTGGCAGCAATTTGAGAACTATAATGGGTGCTGGGGATGGAACCCGGGTCAGCCGTGTGCACAGCGAGCATCTGCTGTTCTCTCTCTACCTCTCCTGTAAGCTTTCTCGTGAGCGGGATCGTCAAGGCCGATTTCTTCTTGAAAATGAAAATTCTAACGCTGTCAGACTTTGAGAGGATCTTTGTCTAGTTGTGATCATGTCATTTCTGCCTGACAGTAAGTGTGTGACCTTTTGGCGAGAGATGGGGTTCTCGCCCTTTCTCACACAGGCTGGATTGAGGAACGTGTGAGGTTTATTTTGTTGTTAAATGCATATAGGGGCATGCTGCTGTGTTCTGACAATGCTGTTTCCTTTTGTTTCTTTCTTGAAAAAAAATACGAATCACTTTATTTCTTTATTTATTTATGGTTTTTAGGGGTTACTACTGACTCTACACTCAGCAGTCACTCTTGGCAATGTTTAGGTAACCGTATGGGATGCTGGGGATTGAACCCTGGTCAACTGTGTTGAAGCAAACACCTTACCCATTGTGCTATCTCCAGTCCCAATGCTGCTTCTTTTATAGATGCTCTCTTTTCTTGTTTTGGGGCCACACCTGATTGATGCTGGGATCACTCCTGGTAGTGCTCAGGGGCCATATGGCTCTCATGAAGAAAATTCATGGAACTATAGTTGAGGATGTCTTTGTCCATATCTGAAACTATTTATGCACATATACCCATGTATCTTCTATTTTAGTTTTTAAAGCAGATTTTTTTTTTTTAACTTCTTGGCTTTTCCTTAAGATTATTGGAGGGCTAGAGTAAGGGGTTAAGGTGCTTGTCTTGCACACAGGTGACTCTGATTTGATCCCTTGCACTACAGATAGTCCCCCAAGCACTGCCAGAATTAAGCTCTGAGCACTACTGCATGTGACTCCAACCATCACCCTTACCACAAAAATAAAATGAAAATAAAGGGCAATGGACACTGGTGATGGAACTGGTGCTGGAACGTTGTATGCCTGAAATCCAAATATGAATAACTGTGATTCTAGGGGACTAAAGAAAATATTTGTTAAAGAAATGGTTATTGTATTTCTGCTCTTACTCAACATTTAGTTATATTTCTTTCCTTCGTTTTCTAGTTACCTTTCTTTTGAATTAGCTGGTGTGTCAACTCTCTTAGATGCATATTCTGTTTGTACTTACCTCTACAATTCTCTTTGGATTCCTTTGTTTTTAATTACTTAGTGTTTAAAAGTAATTTATTTTGTTTGGGCCATACTCTGGTCCTCAGGGCTTACTCCTGGCTCTGTGCGCAGGGGTCACTTCTGGTGGACTCATGGGAATCTATTGATCCCAGCTCAGCTGCATGAAGGCGAGTGCCCTACCCTCTGTACTTGCTCTTGGGCCCCTCGTTCTAGTCTCTGAATCGGTAAGCTTGGGCTGGAGACGGAGCTCAGTGGCTGAGTGTACGCTCTGCTCGCAGTAGGCCCAGCTTGTTTCCTGGCACCTCCTGGTCTGAGCCTGAGTATTAAGCTGGGAGGAGCCCCTGAGCACTCGCTGGTGGGTGAGGCCCAGCCTCCCTGCCCTCCACCCCAATTGTGGGGGAGCTTATTTTAATAGACTGTTACTGCTCTTTGCACTCTTTTTACTTTCTACTTGCAAAACCGATAAATTGTTTTTTTTCCATCCCTTCGAAGACAGTGGCCCCTTATAGAGCAAATTGATTTTCTTCTTACTGTAACATCAAATTATTTTCCTACTCAATTGAAAGATCCTTTTCTATAGGAAAATTCGTAAGCTTCCATTGTTCTTTTGATGAGAAAAATTATATTTAATCAGATGACCTGAAAACCTTATTTTCCTTCCTGTTTACATAACTTTATATTCTGTTTGATAGCATGATTCTGGGACAGAGTGCACTCCAGGAGAATCTAAGAATTTAGGCCAAAAAGAAAACGGCAATTACATCATGTATGCAAGAGCAACATCTGGGGACAAACTGAACAACAACAAATTCTCTCTCTGTAGTATTAGAAATATAAGTCAAGTGCTTGAGAAGAAAAGGAACAACTGCTTTGTTGGTATGTATATGTTTTTAACATACTGTATCATGGATATTTTTGAACATTCAAAAAGTGTGAAAGAATCACGTAGTGAATAACCATGTATCTATGTTTTATAGTTGTTAACACTTTTCGGTACTTGTTTTAATCACATGTTTATCAATAAATCCATCCCTCAGTTTGTAATTTTTTTTCATATAATGTGGATTATAGACATTATTCCTAAACATTAGAATGCTGCATGTCACAGACTGAATTTAATATTACATATAGTTCTCTATGTTTGTAGTATGTATATTACATGGAATATAAATCGTAAGTTCACTTGTTTTATGAACTTTGACAAATATATTTATTTTTTAAACTTAAACACCTATCAAGACTTAGAGCATTTGGGGGCTGGAGCAATAGCACAGCGGGTAGGGCGTTTGCCTTGCACGTGGCTGACCCAGGTTCAATTTTCAGCATCCCATATGGTTAACCAGGCACCGCCAGGTGTAATTCCTGAGAGCGTGAGCCAGGAGTTACCCCTGTGCAACACTGGGTGTGACCCAAAAAGAAAAAAAAAAAGAGAGAGAGCATTTCTAAAACTTGAGAAAACTGTTTTGTTTTCCTTCCCAATCAGACAGTACCCACAGCTTGTCCCCAGAGGCAGCCACCATTCTGATGATTTCACCTTCATTTAAAATGTTTTTTTTTTTCTTTAATTTATCTCAGCTTTATTCAAGTTTTTGTTGTATGCTATACGAATGAAGTCCTACCACTGGCGCCTATCTGTGGAAGGCGTAAAGTCTAGAGCTTCATCATTGTGCTTTGTTCCTCCTCCTGGCTGAGGAGTGTTACTTTGTGTAGTGTGTGTGTGTGTCGTGTAATGTGCTTGCATTACAGGCATCAGCTTGCATTGTCACTCTTCTGTGTAACTTCCTTGGTTTTCAGATTTGTACTAAAATGAATAAATCTGCCGTGAAAAATTTTTCCTTATTGTGGTAAAAGATACAAATATAATACGCACCTTAGTTTCTGTTTTAGCTAATTTCAAGTGTGCAGTGTGGTATATAGTCAATGTTCAGCCATCATGTATTTCTAAACTTTTCATCACTCTACACAACTCTGGTCGCTATTAGGGCAGTGATTCATGCTCCCCTCTTCCCAGCCTCTAGCGTATTATTTTTCCTTTCCTTCTATTTTAAAAATTGAATTTAAAAATTGAATCACTAGCATATTTTTTCTCTATTAATTCACCTGTTCTAAGTTCCTTATATAGATGGAATCACTCAGTAATTGCCCTTTTGTGTCTGGCTTCCTTCATTCAGCATAGTATTTTCTAGATTTATCCAACTTGTACCATGTGTCAGAATGGTATTTTAAGGCTCAGTAGTATTCCGTTGAATGAGCATTGTATTGATATACTATATTTATTCATCCATGTTACATGCCTGTTGTGGCACTTAATGTGGGTTTAATTTTATACTTGGATCATCCTCCTTGTGCTCCTGTCCTCTTTACAGAATTATAAAGTAAGTACATGACAGCCGTACCCAGATACATCCCCAGTGGTTCTCAGGCCTACTCCTGGCTCTGTCCTTGGGGTCCGCTAGCTTGTTTGCTCCTTGTGATTTGTCCCACTCTTTTTTTTTTCTTTTTTTTGGGGGGGGTAACACCAGCAATGCTCAGGTCCTGGCTCTGCACTCTGGAATTACTCCTGGTGGTGCTCAGGGGACCATATGGGATGCCAGGGATTGAACTTGGGTTGACCACATGCAGGGCAAACACCCTACCCACTGTACTATCCCTCCGACCCCTGTCCCACTCTTCTATGCATTTGTTTTCCTTTCTCCCTCTCTTTTGAGTTTTAAAAAATTGATGAGTTTTATTTTATTTTATTTCGGGGTGTGGGGTCTTAGGGCCACACCCAGTGGCACTCAAGGCTTCTTCCGGTTCTCTGCTCAGTTCTTGGCAGTGCTTGGGGGACCGTATGGGATGCTGGGGATTTGACCTGGGTCAGCCTCTTTGAAGGCAATTGCCATATCCACGGTACCAGCCCGATTTGTGAATTGTAAATAAAATTAATGTATGCATACAACATTTACTCTGTGTGACTTGTTTTTCTCAGAATCTGGCCAACCTATTTGCGGCAATGGAATGGTGGAAGAGGGGGAGGAGTGTGACTGTGGCTATAGTGACCAGTGTAAAGATGAGTGCTGCTACGACGCCAACCAGCCAGAGGGGAAGAAGTGCAAGCTGAGACCTGGAAAACAGTGCAGGTGCCATGGCACATTCATGTTCCGTATAAAGTCCTCAGACACAGTTCAGATACATTCAAAACTGAGATTAAGATAAGCAAATGGCTTTGAAACTTTATCTTTGTTCTATTTATTTTCTGGTATAGCATTACATAACGAGCAGTGGTTAATAACTAGACGTACTTGTGATTTTTAAGGTGTGCATAGGGTCTTTAAAAAGAACATACATAGGACGCTCAATAAAATGCATATTATTTTGTCCCTATGTTTTAAATGCTATTTTCCATATTTTCAGAATCATCACATATTTAGGTAATATGGAATTCACACTCATGCGGTTTAGTATTACATAGTTTTTTGGCCCTTGTTAAGTCTAACTTTGGTAATAATAGATATAAGAACTAAAATAGTTTACATGTGAGGCCGGAGCGATAGCACAGCGGGTAGGGCGTTTGCCTTGCACGCTGCTGACCTGGGTTCGATCCCCGGCATCCCATATGGTCCCCCAAGCACCGCCAGGAGTAATTCCTGAGTGCAGAGCCAGGAATAACCCCTGAGCATCACTGGGTGTGACCCAAAAAGCCAAAAAAAAAAAAAGTTTGCATGATACTTTTTAAATAACTGCTCTGTTACCCTGGATTTTAGAAAAATAAATTGGCAAATGTATAAAGTAATTAAATAATTTGCCTATTAACTATTTTTTCCAAGGTAGTCTTTCTCTAAAGGTAGACAGATGAAGAATGCAGAATGTACTTTGTCTTTATTAGATAGAAACCAGAGTCATTTTTTTGGCAATTACTAGAATGTTGATATTTACTAGCACTGTAGCACCGTCTTCCTGTTGTTCTTTGATTTGCCTGATTGGGCACCAGTAAAAAAACTTATTACTGTTTTTTATTTTTTTATTTTATTTTTTTTGGTATCCTCTCATTTTGTTACTAGAATTGTATGCCAGTAACTCCCTTGTTCATAAAATGAGATTAGGATTTAAAACTGAGGAACATAGATAAGTAAATGAGAAATATTCTTGTGACTTGAATTCCTCTATGTCCCCCAGTCCCAGCCAGGGGCCATGCTGTACGGCGCAGTGTGCATTCAAGGCCAAAACCGAGAAGTGTCGGGATGACTCTGACTGCGCGAAGGAAGGAATATGCAACGGCGTCACAGCGCTCTGCCCAGCGTCCGACCCCAAGCCCAACTTCACAGACTGTAACAGGAACACACAAGTGTGCATTAATGGGGTGAGCACTGGGGTTATGTGTGTCCCATTTCATTTTGCCAAACTGCTTTTCAAGGTGCTTGTTCACTGACTCCGGGACTGTGAATAGCTCCTCGCCCTGTGCCTGCACGACACAGGGGCAGGGTCACTTGCCCGCCTGAGAGGATGTGAGCAGCTACAGGCTTGTCTTTCATTTTCTCAACTTTGTCTGTTTGATATTCTTTTTTTTTCTTCTTCTTCTTTTCTTCGCACCTGGCAATACACAAGGGTTCCTCCTGGCCTCTGCACTCAGGAATTACTCCTGGTGGTACTCAGGGGACCATATGGGATGCTGGGAATTGAACCCGGGTCGGCCGCATGCAAGGCAAATGCCCTACCTGCAGTGCTATCTCTCCAGCCCTGTATTTGATATTCTTGAGAAAAAAAATAGTTGTACAATGGGGCATGTGACTCTATGCTGATTTTAAGTCTCAGACTTTTATATCTCAGTAAAGGAGCTCTCTGGTTCCATTTTCTCTAAATGTGAATTGAAGCCTTTTTTCTCTTATTCCAGAGCTATAATGACCAATATAATATAGATTGCCATAGGAACCTTTTGGGGGTGGTGCGCCAGGGCTACTTTCTCCTACTCCAGGGTAGTTTCTCGTAGCGTGTGGGGAGCATTTGGTGCTGGGGATTGAGCCTGGGCCTCTGCTCGTGAGCCTGTGCTCCAGCTCGCTGGTGCTCTCTGGTCACTGTTTAGGTGCCTGGAAGCCCCGGTTTCTCTCTGTGCATTGATGATATGCTTCTGCCCTTCCCTTTCTTATTGCTGGATGCCCAGGGACTGTGTGTGGGCCTGTCTGCTGAGCCCGCAGGAGCCTGCGTGGCAGGTTGAGGCGTGGGCAGGATATGTGCCATTCAGCACCTCTCGCCGTGGTCTCTGCTTCTCTGCCTCACTGCTGGACAGTGCTCCCTGGAGGCACGCTCTGAACTGAGACCAGGAACCCTGGTGGCGGTACTCACAGGCGTGCTTCCCAGACTGCATATTGTGACAGGGCTGTGGCGCAGCTTCCATTCATGATGCGGGCTGCACTCCCTTATTTGTGGGGATGTTTGCAAATACTTGGCTGGGAGTCCGAGCCGCCAGGTGTGCACTTGGTACTTGAGGGCCGCTGCACGGGGTCTCAGCTCAGGCCTGCATGTCTGTGAGGCCACAGCGTGGTTCCCCAGGCCTCTTCCCATTGCTTGCAAGAGTTCTTGTCGTGGGCCGGAGCCATAGTGTCATGGGTAGGGCACTTGCACAGGTCGACCCTGGTTTAATCCCTGGTGCCCCTTGAGTACAGAGCCAGGAATAAGCCCTGAGCATCACTAAATGTGGCCACAAAACAAAAACAGATTTCCTTTTTTTTTTTTTTTTGGCTTTTTGGGTCACACCCATCAATGCTCAGAGGTTGCTCCTGGTTCTGCACTCAGGAATTACTACCCCTGGCTGTGCTTGGGGGACCATATAGGATGCCAGGAATCAAAACCCAAGTTGGCCGCTTGCAAGGCAAATGTCCTACCCGCTGTGCTATCTATCGCTCGGCCCCAGATTTCCTGTTTCATTTGCATTCACTCATTTTCAGTTGTGATAGTACTCTCTCCTTCCCTCAACCCTCCCCTTTACATTTCTACTTAATTATGTTTGACATTGAAAGCATATACATGCCTGTTTTTATGAGCAGTGGACTTCTATAGAGATTAAGTAATTTGTTTTTTATTTCCTTTCAGCAATGCGCAGGTTCTATATGTGAGAAATACGGCTTGGAGGAGTGTACTTGTGCCAGCTCTGATGGCAAAGATGATAAGGAACTGTGCCATGTCTGCTGCATGAAGAAGAGTAAGTCTGTAAAGATAGGAATCCAGGCTTGCTCTTCCAAGCCCCATTCTTCCCCCGCCCCCAATCTCCCACACCCCGCTCTTCCCACTTCCCCCCCACCCCCACATACACTTTCCACTCTGAAGAAGCCTTTATTTTCTCTTGAACACATTCTTTTCTTTCTGTCCCCTCAAAATACATCTTTCTAAGGATTTTAGTCAATAAAAAACTATTTTGCTTCACAACCCATTATTTCCTTCCTAAGAACTAAGTGTTGAACTTTAACAAAAGTTTGGACAGATTGTTCCCAGTTTGGCCAATCCTCTTAAAGAAAATTTCAAAGTAGCATAGCATTGTGTTTTGCTGTTTAGTTCCAGTAGTATCTTTGAAATGATATACTAGACCCAAAACTTGCAACTTTATACCATTAATCAATATCAATGTTGCTAGAAGAGTTTAAAGCCATTGTATGCCGTAAGTTGAGTTCCTGGTTGGTTGTTTCCAACATGCAAGTTAAATTACCATGGTGTGCAACCTAACTGTAATGAAATTCACTGCATGCTGTGTTGATGATTTCTGGCGTGTCTGTTTTCCTCCCTCAGTGCCCAGCTGGTCTGCTGTGGGTAATTCTTCTTTGACCTTTGATATTTTTTCCCCAGTGGAGCCATTGACTTGTGCCAGCACCGGGTCGCTGCAGTGGAGCAAGCACTTCATTGGCCGAACGATCACCCTGCAGCCTGGATCCCCTTGCAATGATTTCAGAGGCTATTGTGATGTTTTCATGCGGTGCAGATTAGTAGATGCTGATGGTCCTCTTGCAAGACTTAAAAAAGCAATTTTCAGTCCAGAGCTCTATGAAAACATTGCTGAATGGATTGTGGTAAGTGCAGTTTTTACTTATAAAGACATGTTTTGACCTGGACCAGGGATATAGCTTAGTGGCAGAGCACTTGCCAGGGGTTTTATTCTTGGCATCTCAAAGAGAAAAAAAGGGGAAGGAGGGGGAAAGGATTGATCGTAAGAGCACCTTGTATGGTAAAGCAGATTAATCAGGCTTTTTAAAAGAATTTGCCTTACGCGTCAGTGTTTTTAATTCCATGTTTCTGTTGACAATCCTGTGTACTCTCGATCCTTTGTGCTTATGGATTTCATCACCGTAGAGGTGCCTCCCTAGAAGGTGACGGAGGAGCCTCATTGGCGTTTGATAGGCAAGGGGAAAGGCGATTAAATGTCCTGCTTTGCTTCAGATGATCCTATATTACAGATCCCAGCTTGTCCACACTGTCTGGGAAATGCTAGTCCGCTTGTTAGAAATGCGGTTTTCTGGGGTTCAGGAGCTAGCCGAAGGGCTCAAGCATGCAGAGGCCCAGGTTCCATCCTAGGCATTGCAGGAAGGAGAGTGACCCTGATGCATGCCCGTGTGGCCCACCCCAGTGTCACTGTCAGACCTACTCCAGAGGTTGCAAACTGGTTATCTGTGTTTTAATACTGGGTAGTTTCTGGTTTTGCTTAGAGATGGGAACCATTTCTTTTGCAGGTGAGTGCTGATTGCTTGAGCAGCTGTCCAAATCATAGGACTCTCTCCGTAGCTAGTAGGTTGCTCTTAGCTTCCCTTAAGACCCTGAGGCATGTAGTGGGTTAGAGATGAGACTGTAGTCTGTGTAGGTTGAGTTTCCCAAACTGATGTGCTCCCTGTGGGTGAAGGATTGACAGTGCAGGGCTGGGTGTGATCACTTGGCCTGTGTGTGCCATCCCCGAGTTCCGCACTGTCACCACATGGTCCCTTGAGCACTACCAGAAACAGGATTTCAGTACCCAACTGATGAGGATGGTCCAAAACTAAAAAGATAAGTTATAGGAATAGACCAGTTGTAGACCATAGGTCAAATCTGATTTGTTTTTTGTTGTAAATAATGTTTGACATATAGAGAGACTGCTATCTCTCTGAGTCTTATGTTTGTTTTTATAGTGATTTATAGTATTTGGTATGTCTTTCACCTTTTTTGTTAAGTGCTGAGCTGTTTGTTAGGTACGGTTGAGCCTTCTGTGCTATGGTTTTGCTCCTAGTTGAGCCGTGGGCTTCTACACAACTCTCCCTTCTGCTTTTCTGTGTTCCTACTGGGCCATCAGCTGTGTGGACTTCTGGTGTTGCTCTACTGGGCCGTGCCTGCTTCTGCAGTGTGGCTGGGAGCTTCAGTGGCAGGGCGTCCTGTCTGGCTCAGCCACTGCGGCCACTGTCGGTGGTCAGTGCTGGGGCTGGGCCCGTGGGGTGTGTGGAGATCTGGGCCTTCCCACGGGGCAAGGACTTGACCTCTCACCCTATGCAGGCGCCAGCAGTCTGGCCTGGAGACTGGGCCTGCAGCTTCTGTGCAGGGGACTTCTCTCCTGCTTTGCTTGTTTGCCAGTTATTTGGTGAAGTCTCAAAGAATTTCTAGGTATTTGATCCTGCCACGCAAAAGATAGTGTTTAACTTCTTTTCCTCCTTAGCACCCTCATTTCTGGATTTCCTCCCCCCCCCCCCCATTTTCTCTAGCTTGGGGTTGCTTGGAAATGTTCCTCAAAGAGTTTAGAAAATTCTGGAATGTTTGGAGATCTTCGTGAACTTTTGCTCCCATCCATGATGAGAGTGAAGCCTTTCTCCATTTCTTCATTATATCTGGTGCTGCATGAGAAACTGGGGGTTGAAATCTGAGTTCTCAGAGACCTGAGGAACCATCAGGGACTTTTGCTTGCAAAATCCAAATCAGTGTTTGCATCTGTGATTGTGGGCCTAGATGTCTGCTAGAGATTCGTGGTCATTTGTGACCTGTAATGAGAAAGTTCACTATCCATACCTGGCAGCAGGTGGGAGACTGACGTCTGGCTGACCTGTGGAGCGGCTGTTGTTTGTGGCTGTGTGTCCCTGGCAGGGCTACGTGTCAGAACACAAATGTGCCATGGCCCTGACACTTCTGTCGGATTGCCCTCACCGAGAGCTGGGCACTCTGGCTCACCCAGCCTAGCAGTTCCCGTCATCTCCTGTGTGTGCATGACCTGGGTGTGGAGATCCAGACCTGCTTACCAGGCGGCTGTCCCCAGAGGCATCACCCTTGCCATGTGAACTTGAACTTCTGCTTCTTGCTGGCTGAGAATGCTTGGGAAGGCGTGACTTGCTTGCCAGCAGCTGACAGAGGGCTGGGGGTGCCAAGTCTGTGGGCTTGACTGAGCAAGTGCCGATCAGCCATGAGCTTGCTCTGTTGCTGACCTGGGGCTGGTGGAGCTCCCCTCAGGAACGGTGGGTGCTCGCCAACTACCAGCAGCTGAGACAACACCAGTGCCAGCACAGTCCCTCGCTTCCCGGCGCAGCGGATATGGAAACACAGCTGCGTGTCTGGGAGGTCTGGGCCCTTGGCACCCCCGGCCATGCTTCCCTGGGCCTTGGAGCAGTGGGGCTGACCACCGCTGCCTTCCTCCGTGCTCCTGCCCCTGGTCTGTGACGCTGCTGGCAGTGTGCTGCACCCCCGCCCCGGGCTTCCAGCACAAGCCCACCTTGTGGTTCCTCCCACAGCAGTGTTCTTCTGGGGTAGGGGGGAAGGGTGGCACCTGGGGTCAGAGATGTTTCTTTTAATCACTCAGCAGGACTCTCCTAAGTTTTCAAGTCAGCCATCTCTCCTTGTTCCATAGCATGAAATCTCCTGGAAATTTGAGGCTTGAGTGCCTACATTTTTGTTTGTTTCTGGGCCACATCCAGTGGTGCTCAGGGTGTACTCCTGGCTCAGGGCTCAGGGTCACTCCTGGTGAGCGCAGGGACCATATGGGGTGATGGGGATCAAACATGGGTTGGACAGTTGGCAAATGCCTGTCACTCTGCCCCCGGGTGCCCTAAATTTAATTCTCTTCTTTGGTGTGGTTTCTTGTGGGGTCCAGGAATATTCTGAACTATTTTATTTTCTGTTTTGTTATCTCAAGAAAATACTAAAGCAGTAGACTTGTTATAAAATCAGAGGAAATCTTAGTTTTATTGGCGATAATTAGCAACAACTACATATGTATTATAACAACATGTTAAGCTGATTTGATGTTTCGTAGTTTTAAAATGGGGCTATCTCATATGATGTTTTATCAGTACATGTCTGCATAATAGAATTACAATTAAAAATGAAAACTTATTTTTCTATAAAGAAGTTTATATTCACCAGAAATATTGTATTAGAATTATTTTGTGTTTGTGGCTGGGGGGTGAAGATCAAATCTTGAAATCAAATTCAGGGCCCCACACAGGCAAAGCCTGTTCCCTGCCACCGAGGTGCCCCAGTTTCTTAAATGTTTTTGATTAGCAAATTTATTTGCTCAATATGATTTAAGTCAGAAATAAAACTTTTAGTTTCTTATATAAGGTAACCTTTGCCTGTTTTTAGAATTGTATATTTTCCATACTAAAAGTGATAATTAATCTTTAAATTTATCTGTCTGTAAAATGAAGTTGTCATATAAAAATAATTTCATAACAGCAATATGGATCTTTAATTCCAGATGAAATATGAAAGCACAGGAAATGAAACTTCAGTGAAGATGTTTAGTCTTAGCTATGATAATTTAAAACATGTAAAGGTTAAAGAGTATTTAAAAAATCTGTCCAGGAGCCTTAGCGATAGTCACAGCAGGTAGGGCGCATGCCTTGCATGTGTCTGACCTGGGTTTGTTCTCTTCCATCCCATGTAGTACCCTGAGACCTGCCAGGAGTAGTTCCTGAAACCAGAGCCAGGAGTAAGTCTTGAGCACTGCTGAGTGTGGTTCCCCCCGACCCCCACCCCGCCCCGTCCCATCCTCTTCCCCAATCCAGTTTATCCAAATTGAAGAAATTAAGTTAAGCCTCTATAAAAACAAATTATTATTATTTTAATTATTATTATTTAAAAAAATTTTTATTGAATCACCGTGAGCTACAGTTACAAAACTTTCATGTTTGAGTTTTAGTCATACAGTGATCGAACACCCACCCCTCCACCAGTGTACATTCTCCACCATCAATGTCCCCAGTATTATCCCCCCATTAACCCTCCCCCTGCCTCTATGGCAGACAATTTCCCCCTTACTCTCTTTCTACTTATGGACATTATGGTTTGCAATATAGATACTGAGAGGCTATCACATTTGGTACTTTATGTACTTTCAGCACACCTCTCCCATCTTGAATGATTCCTCCAACCATAATTGTCTTATTGATCCCTTTTCTATCCTAGCTGTCTTCTCCCCAGCTCATGAGGCAGGCTTCCAACTATGGAGCAATGTTCCTAGCCCTTGTCTCTACTGCCCTTGGGTGTCAGTCTCATATTATGTTACTTATAAAAGCAACTTATATAAACTCAACAGGAGTGTCAAACTGAAGTGGAAGCAGTCTCAGAACAGAAGATACCGAATAACAGATGAAAATGCAGTATAGACTTTAGATAGAATGACCCTAGTTTGAATGTAGGGTTACCTCTTTGTGTGTGTATGTGTGCGTGTGTGTGTGTGTGTGTGTGACAAAGGAAAATAAGATGATTTCCTTAAGAAATAAAATTATGGTTACTTTTGTTTTTTTTTTTTTACTCCTTTACACTCCTTGTTCTTTTTTACTCCTTTTCTAGCATTTAAGAAATGACTGTGCATGTGCCTTATGTGACATTCTATACAAGTGCCCACTATTAAGTGTTCTTTGAAAGCTAAAACAGTATATTCTCTTTTGTGTAGCATGAAACATTTGACCATTCTTTCAGCGCACACATCTGTTTCTTCCAGGTGAACTGGTGGGCAGTGTTGCTCATGGGGATCGCCCTCATCATGCTGATGGCTGGCTTCATCAAGATATGCAGCGTGCACACTCCGAGCAGTAACCCAAAGTTGCCTCCTCCCAAGCCTCTCCCAGGTAGGCCAGTTCGGACAGAGCATTTATTGTCTTAACTCCCAGTTGTTCGAGTAGGATTGGACTATAAATGAACCTTTGTAAATTTATATTACTTCCTCACTGAGTTCGGGATTGCTAGAATGAGATACTTAGTTAATATTTAAGTGCTCAAATTAATCTAATATGGATAATGCCTGTCACCATGGTGGAATTCTGTCCTGAATGCTTGGTGGAATTCTGTCCTGAATGCTTGGTGCTTGATACTTATTTTCTTATTTTTCTTTTACATTTTATCATCTTCACTTGTTTTTCTTGAGAATGTGTGTGTGTGTGTGTGTGTGTGTGTGTGTGTGTGTGTGTGTGTGTATTTTCCTGGTAGTTCTGGGGGTTGAAACCTGGTTGGCCTTATGCACAGGCAAGCACCTTAACCCGTGTAGTATCTCTGGCCCCTTGTGATAGAGAGTGTGTGTGTGTGTGTGTGTGTGTGTGTGTGTGTGTGTGTGTGTGTGTGTATGTATTTTCCTGGTAGTTCTGGGGGTTGAAACCTGGTTGGCCTTATGCACAGGCAAGCACCTTAACCCGTGTAGTATCTCTGGCCCCTTGTGATAGACTACTTTTAACCAATTGGTCTTTTATCTTGTAGCTGTGCTTCTTTTATTATTTTTAATATTCCTACTCTAGAAATATTGGAGGACCATTTTCCCTAGGGGTGATATTGCAAAGCAGCCCCTTGTCTCTGAGCTTCTGCTCATGGAGAAATCACCAAATCACCACCCTCCACCCCTGCAGACACTCCCTTGGGGTGCCTCACCCAGTACCTCTCAGTCTGATAGGGTGCTGGGCGGAACCCTTGTACTGCAGCTCCAGGAGCTTGGAGCCAGCCAGGAAGCACCTGCTTCCTCCCCAGTCTGGCCTGTGCCCCAACGGGGTGCCTGGAATAGCATCTGTCTCTCTTGTGAACTGCATTGTCTAAGGCAGTGAAGTCCGGCCTTCTTTCCCTCTCCCAGCTTCCACAGACTTCTCCATAAGCTTCTTGATAAGCCAAATCCACTTGTCTTCTCAAATTGGCTTCAAACAAGGGCCGCCTTAGTTCCTGTTTTCCTTCCCTTTGCCTCTCTGTACCAGGGAGCCCATTATTTACATGGAGGCATAACATATTGGTGCACATTGAAACACATTTGATTTTTGTACTTAATATCATAATGCTTTACTTGAATTCACAGTGTTAGCACTGTGGTATTTTAGCAATTTCTTTAGCCTCTTTCTTTTAGCAGTTCCAAAGAGCCTTATGATTTTTGGGGGGATGGGAGACATCACAATTTCTGGTCTCATTTAGGGGGACATTACTCAATAAACTTGATTTTACTTTAAGCAGATTTCACCTTTAAAGGTTTTTGAAATCCTAGTTGGCTTTTATTGAATCCTCTCAAAAAGTTCTATGTACTGAATGCGCATTGATCCTCATAGCAATTAGTTATTATGAATTAGTTATCAAGCTTGTTTGACAAACAAGCCTCCTGAGTTTTAGATTAGTTAATCATTTGCTAAAGAATACAGTTTTCCTTATCATAGATTTTTTGCTCAGAATCCGTATTTATCTGATATTGGATTCCTTAGCATTTTGAAATAAGAAGAATATCAATTGAGGTGTGTTATAAATAGGAAATACATTCCATATTTTGACTGAATAAAGAAGTGTTTAACAATGCTACTTTGTTTATATTGGGCAAAGTGAAATTAAGCTCCATATATTGGCTTGGGGCTGATCCCAACAGTGCAGAGAGCACCATGCTGGTTTGGGCACTGACCCTGGGGCTCTGCGTGTAAAGAACACACTCTTCTTTTTGACTGACTTTCCCCCAGTTCCCACCTTCAGTTAATAAAATTATACAGCCTATTCCTTTATTTACTTTTCTCAGTGGGCTCCCAGAAAAATTGTAGTGACACCTAGGGCTCCCATCACCGCTTGTGTTGGACAGTGTTCTGGAATCTTCCCTACTGAAATGCAGCAGTCTCTGAAGGCTGCAAGGCTCTGTGGGCGAGAGTCGGGGCTCTGGAGCTTGGCATGCAGGAACCCGGGTTCCTTCCCCTGGCCTGCAGGAGTGGCTCCCGAGCACCCGCAGGTGTCACCCTGAAGCAGAGTCCCCAGGTGGCCACCATAGAGAGCTCCTAGTAGAACGTTCTCTCTTTGGTGGCTCGCAGGCACTTTGAAGAGGAGGCGGCCGCCACAGCCCGTGCAGCAGCCGCAGCGGCAGCGACCCCGAGAGAGTTACCAGATGGGGCACATGAGACGCTGAGCACAGCAGCTCCTGCCTTGGTTCTTCCTAGTGCCTACAGTGGGAAACTTCACTCCAAAGAGAACCCTTCAGTCAGCACCCCCACCAGCCCTCACGACGCCCGGCGGAGACAGATGGCAAGAGATCATGTCCTCACGCCAGGTGCAATCACCTAAAATATAAAGCCTGCAGATTCCAATTTGGGGGTGGTGGGTGGGAAAGGAACCCAATTTTCTTATGGACAGATATTTTTAACCTAATGGCACAAAGTCTTAGGATATTATTATGTGCCCCGTGTCCCCTGTTCTTCGTTGCTGCATTTTCTTCACTTGCAGGCAAACTTGGCTCTCGAGAAACTTTGATCACAAATCAAAATATAAATCTCTATTTTTTTCAACTGCCAATCAAGGCTTGGAGGTGCGGCCGCCTCAGCATCGGAGACATCACTTGCCAATGTACATACCTTGTTATATGCAGACATGTATTTCTTACAGACACTGTACTTCTGTGTGCAATTGTAAACAGAAATTGCAATATGGATGTTTCTTTGTATTATAAAATTTTTCCGCTCTTAAATGAAAAATTACTGTTTAATTGACATACTCAGGATAACAGAGAATGGTGGTATTCAGTGGTCCAGGATTCTAAAATGCTTTACACAGGCAGTTTGGAAACAAGAATCAACGTTCCTTTTCCCTAAGATGGAGTTGGTTCTGATACTCATTTTGTCTTTATCCCGTGGCTGCTAAGAGCACAGGAGTGACGCGCTGAAGGACACGCAGATACTACTTCAGAGTTCACTCTTACGTCGGTGTCTGGGTTCTTCCTTCCTTTAGACTTTCTAATTCAATTCCAGTTTTGAATTGATAGGTGATTCATGCTTTGGTAGAAATGATGTCATTGAAGCGATTCTTTTTCTGTGTAGCCACTTGTTCGTGTTCCCCGTATATCTGAAGTATGCTAATTATGTTTTCCTTCTGTCTGACATGGGAAAAAGCTGTGTCCTTTTTTTTTTATGAAAATGTTTGAATAGTTTTTTTTTTCAGCATATCGTCACTGATCATTTGTAACCACTAAAGAAGAGTGATTCGCTCAACTAGTAGTAACATAGGTAGGCCTTCTGATACTTTTCCCCTAGAATATTTTAACAACAATGAAGGTGGTAAAACAGCACAGTGTCCCATTCCAGATTTATTTTTTAAACAGATGTAAATAATTGGCATTTTAAAGAAAGAAAGCAAATGCATTTAATGTATTAATAGGCTTATTGCTATGCAGGAATGGAATGGGGCATTACAGAAACATTTTTAAGCTTATGATGTATTTATTGCTCTGTTTTCCAACGACATCACTTAAGTTAGAAGTAAAAGGCTATGATTTTCCTGGCCTCACATAGGAGGCAGCTTAGGGAAAGCGATTAGATTTGTGTTTTGACTTTTTTTTTCCTTTTTTTTTTTTTCTTAAGAGTATAAGGTTTACACAATCATTCTCATAATGTGACGCAAGCCAGCAAGGCCAAAAATGCTAGAGAAAATAATGGATCTCTTCCTTGTAAACTTGTACAGTATGTGGTGACTTTTTCAAAATACAGCTTTTTGTACATGATTTAGAGATAAATTTTGTACATGAAACCCCAGATAGACTATAAATCTAAACAAACAAGTAGGTAGATATGTATGTAATTGCTTTTAAATCATTTAAATGCCTTTGATTTTGGACTGTGCAAAGGGTTGGAAGTGGGTTTGCCTTCTAAAATGGTGACTTTTATTCTGCAAGGGTTCTTAGTAACTTCTTGAGTGTGGTAGACTTTGAACCATGTACATTTTTTGCTTGTAATGTTATCCTGTGGTAGGGTCTTGGCAGTCGCGCACTGCCCTCTTTTATTTTGACTCTAGGTTAAATGTTTTCCGAGAAGAGATACATGCACTGAACTCTTTCCACTGCAAATCAAGATGTGGTTAAATGAAAGGATCAAGACAAATGAGATCTAATACTACTGTCAGTTTAATGTCCACTGTGTTTTATACAGTATCTTTTTTGTTCACTTTGAAAATTTTTACTAAAAACTGCAAAAAATAAAGTATTGTGCAAAGATGTAAGGTTTTTTGAAACTTGAAATGCATTAATAAATAGACTTGATGAAATCAACTTAAAGGCTCCTTGCTCTTCGAACACAGCTGTCCGAGTGTCTCTGAGAGTTTTCGTCACAGACTGGGGACGTGACTTCGAGCGCTGGGGCGCATCCCTGGCATGCACACCCAGGTCTGATCAGTCCTGGGCGTGGCAGGGCTGCCTGAGGACTGCTGGGTTCCTGATGACCCCGCCTCCTGGGGAAAGCATGAGCAAACACAAGACTCTTCCTTGCTAAATGAAGGAGACTTTAGCAGAAGGGATTTGTCTTTTTTCATACAATTACAGAAATCTTTCTGCCCAGATAGATGTTCAAGTAGAAATTCTGTGATTTGTTATTTCTCCTTTGACACACAAATGAACATTAAAAAATAGAAAGTATAAACCTCTACTTCTGCACATTATTTCTACTCAATCTAATTAAAAAAACACCAAACATCTCAGGGTCAGGGAGACTCAAAGTGATGAGAAGAGGTAAGTCAGCCAGGGATAGTTCACCTTCCTTCCTTCCTTCCTTCCTTCCTTCCTTCCTTCCTTCCTTCCTTCCTTCCTTCCTTTCCTTCCTTCCTTCCTTCCTTCCTTCCTTTCCCTCCCTCCCTCCCTCCCTCCCTTCCTCCCTTCCTTCTTTCCTTCCTTCCTTTCTTCCTTTCTTCTTTGTCACACCCGGCAATGCTCAGGGGTTACTCCTGGCTCTACACTCAGGAATTACTCCTGGCAGTGCTTGGGGAACCATTTGGGATGGCAGGGTTGAACCTGGGCCAGCCGCTGAGGCAAACGCCCTCCCTGTGGTACTGATCCAGTTTTGACAGTTTCTCTTTAGGGAAGAGAAAGAAATTATAGTTTTCTAAAAAGTAATTTTGACTTCTGAGAAACCAAAAGGATCACTGAGTCACACAGAGCTTCACTTCCGTTTCAGCATTTCTGATCTTATGTCCTTAATTAAGAGTGATTTCCATTTGTTTTTCCACATGTTACCAGCTTAATTTTCCACTATTGTTTCTACATCCACGTTCTTTCTATGAGAACTGTGCAAAGTGAGCCTTTTCATTCTGTATTGCTGTTTCTGTGTTATACAGATATATATGTTTAGTTGAAGTCGACGCATTTGAAATTTTACATTTAAGAGGTATTATGTAGGGATCGGAGCAATAGAACAGAGGTTAGGGCATTTGCCTTGCACACGGCTGACTCAGGTTTGATTCCCGGCATCCCATCTGGTCCCCTGAGCACCGCCAGGAGTAATTCCTGTTTTTTTCATACAATTACAGAAATATGGGTGTGGCCCCTCCAAAAAAGCCCAAAAATATATAAAAATAAAATAAAGTTTTAAAAAAGGTGTTTATGTAGATAGATAATTGATATGCTCTTCAAAGTGTCTGTCCCTACCTATAGAAAAGCAGCAGATGGTAGATAAATGGAAATTTGAACAAAATATTTATTAGCTTAAAAACTGCAGTGCAGTTTCAGCAATTAGGGCAGTGGAAGCAAAGTTGTGTGTGTGGGGAGAGAGAGAGAGAGAGAGAGAGAGAGAGAGAGAATGCTCAAAGGGCTGAAGCACAGGCTTTGTGTTCCAGCGACCTGGTTGCTCCCTGAACAGCAGTTGTGACTACAGCAGTTGTGACTACAGCAGTTGTGACTTCCGAGCACCAAGCTGGTAGTAGCCCCTGAGCACTGCGGAGTGTGTCTGCCAAACACAATTTTTAAGAAAGAGAATTATTCTTCAGGAACAATGGAAATTGAAGAGAAGATAACAAAATCCTGGAAATAGAAAGCTGGCTTGGTAGATAAGGAAAGACAAATTTCAAATTAGTAGTGAAGATACAAGATACAAGAACAACGGAGTTGGGACTGTTAAGATTTTGGGGTTTCTTGAGTGAGTAGGGCGTTTGCCTACATGCGGCCGCCCTGTGTTCGATCCCCAGCATCCCATACGGTTCCCTGAGCTCTGCCAAGAGTGATTCCTGAGTGCAGAGCCAGGACTAAGCCCTGAGCACTGCAGGTATGACTCCAAACAAACCAAAACTAGGGAGAAAAAAAAAAGATTTGAGGTTATAGATAGCTTTTGAGTCTTTCTCTGTTCTGTGATGAAGGCAAAATTTATACACCGTAAGCAAATCTTACTTTCCAGTTTTTATTATTTTAACAAGGTAAGTCATATTTTGTGACTCTGTTGTGTATTTTAAAAACTAACCTACTTTCTTGGAACTGGAGAGATAGTATAGTGGTAGATTACTTGCCTTGCATGTGACTGACCCGGGTTCAATGCCAACACACCTGGAGTAAGCCCTGAGCACTGTTGGGTGTGGCCGTCAAACAAAAACCAGAGGAACATATTTCCTATTATTTATACACTTAAACATCTAGATTGTTCATTATTTTGAACAGAACTACAAGGAAAATTCTTGACCTAATATTAATATTAAAAAAAAAATTCCCAAAGTGGAATTGTTGGGTTAAAGTTTTTTGTTTTAGGTCATTAATAAAAATTATGATACTGAGGCTGGAGCAGTAAGTAGCACAGTGGGTAGGGTGTTTGCCTTGCACGAAAAGACCCAGGTTCAATTCCCAGCATCCCATATGGTCCCCTGAGCACTGCCAGGTGTGACCCAAAAAGCAAAAAAAAAAAAAAAAATTATGGTGCTGTCTTCCATGTTAAAATATACAAGTGCTGTTCGTGCCATTAGCTTATTAAGACACTTCTATTGTGAAATTCCCTCTCACGGAGCTGTGGAAATTCCCTCGCTTGGGGATGACGCATGAAAGGGTATCAGAGGCTCTCTTGCCCCAGCGCTCAGGGCTCTCCAGCCGCTTTTCACCTGGGATGGCTGTTGCCTTGGACAGACAAAGGAAGAACAAGGGCCAAGCTGGTTTCTGATTAGCTGCTGTTTGTTCAGTCTCTCGTCTCTCCCAGCTCTCTGCGACCTTCTCCTCTGACCTTATGTCCCCCGCGACCTCTGTCCTCTTCTGTCTCTGTCTCAGCCTTCCATCTGACTCCTCCAGTCTACTTGTCCCTCTGTCATTTTCTCTCACTCTTTTCTCTCCTTCCTCCCTGCAGCCGCTCTTTTTCTTCTCTCTCTCCACGCCCCCCCCCAACCACGCTTCCTCCCCCCCCCCCCCCCCCACCATGGGAAGTGCAATCAAACTGTTTTTCCAGTCTTCTTTCCCAACCACCTGCAGCCCACAAGGTCAAACACACCTTAAGGTGTGTTTCTCCTCTTCTTAGACCTGCAACTTAGTTAACATCTCTAATTCTTCTTCCTAATATTTACCATTCTGTATGGACATAGTAATAGATACTTTTAGGCTTGTAGGGTGACTCTCCTGGGGATATCTCACCACAGACTCAGACAGCAGTGCTCAAGTCGGATCAATCATTCCTAACCCCAACAGGGTCCAAATATAATTATTACTTTTTGAATCATGACAGAATTTGTCCATGACTATGCTCTTAACTTATAGTTAAGCATGATGGCACTTGGGCCAGGCCCATTTTGATGCCAGGGTAGCTCAGAGCACACCACTTTACCCTCGTCTGTAAGGGTGAAACTGACACCTGTCACTGCGCAGAAATTTCAGTTTCCCAGCAATGAAACAGTATGTAGCTAGCCAACCTGAACCACCTGGAAGGTGAAGTCCCCTGTCTGGCCCATTGTTGCACTCTTCAGGCCATTTTCTCGAAAGAAACGAGCCGTCTGTAGATGAATGATGGATCCTGTGTCTAGTAAGAACAACTTCGGGAACAACCCTCACATCTGAGGTCGAGGAAGCTGTTAGAAGTCTGACATTCTCGTTGGTCAAGTCTGAGAACATCCACACCAGTAAGGATCTGGAAAAGGTTTGAATCAGTAATACTAGTTTACAAAGTCAAAGTTTCGGACTTTGGGATTTGATCTTAGAGAAACAGTCAGGGGCTGGGGAGGTCACTCACAGGATGGAGCTCATCCCTGGGACTGTGTGGCTGTCCCACCCATACCCCACCATTGCTAGGAGAAACTCTTGCGTTCCACTGGGTATGGTCCCAAAACAAAACGAATCCAGCTGATCAATTGGAGGAAAGATGGACTATCACCATTTTGTTCTTCAGTGATCAGCATGCGGACACCTGCCGGCTGCAGTTTGCATTTATTTAGTAGGACCCAGGGAGTACTGAACACCACTGGTGATGAGATCCATTTGGTGATCACCCAGTGAGGAATAAGACAGAAGCAAATATTCTGTGCCTCCAGTGGGTGTGCTTGGTCTTAAGCAGGTGAGGCAAGTGCTTGGCCACCGACTCACATCTCCAGCCCTTCTGTGTCTCCAAAGTGGAAAGACCACTTAAGAAGCGATCCAGGGGGCCCGAGCCATAGTACAATGGGGAGGGAAACTGCCTTGCATGTGGCCGACCCGAGTTTGATTCCCTGCATTCCATATGGTCCCCAAGCACCACCAGAACTACTTCCTGAGTGCAGAGCCTAGCGTAACCCCTGAGCACTGCTAGGTGTGGTCCCAAACCCACCTCCCCAATCCCCCAGAAAGATGCTAAAGCCAAATGTGAGCCTCGTCCTCAGGTCAAACCACCTCTTTACCAGAAGGAGAGGGAAATCAAGGAACATGTAAAGTGAAAAATACAACATAATTAGCAAATGCAGATTGGAAAACTATGAGTGAGGACAAATGATTCTGTTTATTCAACAATTATAATTGCAAGAAGAAAAGGGAAAAAGAAAACAGATTAAAAGCCACTTAATATAATTAGCAGTACAATTTCTGGGCTAATTTTGGGTCCCAATTTGAACAAACAGCAAAAAAAAAGGGGGGTGTGGGGAGAGGATATAATTTGGTATGAAGATGAAACTAACAGGATATCGAACGATTTTTGAGGATTTGTATCATTGTTAGGTGTGAGAATGCCATCCTGGTTTTTTTTTTTTTATAAGGAAATGCAAATGGGAATACCTTGAAAACTGAAATACTGCCTTAAGATTTGCTTGTAAATGATTGAATTGGTGAGCAAAAGAGGATAGTTAAAACAAGTG